GGGGGGGTGATTGAGGTTTGTTGGGGGCACTTAAAAGTTCAAATCCTATACCTACACACTTATGATTCCATGGAAAGTACTTTGGAATCCTAAGTTGATGATTTACCAATTATAAATCACTTAAAACTAAGTAACTCAAAGTTAAACAAAGAAAAGGACTAAAATTCAACCAAGCCAACTGAAAATGAAAAAAAATATAACCAAGACCCCCGTACATGTCCATTGTTGTGTATCTTACTACCCCAAGCGTGGTGCCCATAAAAAAATTCAACCAAGCCACCTCCCACTTTTCACAACACTGTTAATAATATTAAATAAAATTAAAACAAACTAAAATAAAAAAAAAACAATAAATACTTGACCAACATTTAAACAACTCAAACTGTTAATCATAGTGGATTTTTATATAAACCTTAAACTTGAATAACAACCTAAACAAAGAGAATAGAATGAGTATCTTACACACCAAATCATAAATGAGACTTTTGTGAGGCCCTTTCTTTCCCAATAAAAGGCTAGGAGCTGGCCTTAGGGTTTCATAGTGGATTTTTAGATGCCTAGAATTGGGACCAACATACACTTAGAACTTCAAACTCACTCTACATTCACTTAGGGGTTTCATAAGGTTAAGCTTAAATCCTTAACTATTGGTTGAGATGATGAAGGTTGGAACTAATTGAAGCCCAAGTTGAATTCCTATAGATGGAAGATGCTCTAGACAACCCATAGAGCCTAGAGTCCTAGAAATCCCTGTGATGACCTATTGACCACTCCTACACCCTCTTTGGTATCATATGATATTTTCTTTTTCTTAAGTCCATACTTGGGATTGTCCTTATTAGTTAGTTTGGGTGCTTGGCATGTCTAAAATGGTATTTGGTCGTCACAAAGCGAGGATGAACCTCAACATGATAATGGAGCAAGGATGAACTTCAGCAAGACGACAGAATGAGGACCAATCTCAAGAAGATGACAGAGCGAGGACGCACCTCAATAAGATGATAAAGCTAAAGGATGAATCCCAAATTACTAGAACACTAACTGAAAATATCCACAAAACCAAATGAAAAATGGGACTATTGTAGTTCTAGGTCGAGTTGTATGATCAGGAGTAGATGCTTGGCTGCCCCATGTTGACCTCACTTTTGTGAGACCATTTCTTCCCCCATAGAAGCCTAGGATCTGCCTTATGGTTTCCTAGGCAGTATGATCAGGAGTAGATGTTTATATTATTGTAATTTTAACTTTAGTTTTCAAATAATAATAATAAATTATGTTTATCTCAAACTAAGTGATTTAAAAATTATTTTATTTAAAAATTTAATCAGAATAATACGAGGAAAACAATTTATTAACATATCCTGATAAGTTTTTTATAAAAATGATGCTTATTTTTCACATGTGTATCCTTTATTATACACATATATTATTCATCAATATAATAACATTAATAGACATTAAAATAAAATTATTAGACATTCACAAATGTAATCTAGCTTGCTAGGAAAGTACAATGTATATAATATTACATAAAATCTCCCAAATGAATACTTTAGGAAGATTTACCTTCATGCCACTGAATTCTTATGTATTTTCATATCTAACGTCTAAACTTTAAGATTTAGGACTTACAACTATGTATTTTACTTTTAAAGTTAAAATAATATTTTTTTTGATGTGCTATGAAATATTTTAATGGTATAAATATTTAAAAATAAAGTTTATTTGTCAAATATGTGAATTGACCCGAATTGGGTGCTCTCTATGTAATGCCCTAAATTCTTAAAAAGAGATTTACATGAAAACAGTGCTTCACTTCCTTCAATAGAACAAATCCTACCCACCAAATTAATAAGTAAATCCCACCCACTAAATCCACCGCGATTCACAGTGAGGCATGTGGCGGTCATGAGTTAAAGGACCAGGTGAACTGAAAAGAGGTGGATTTGTAGTCAAAAGTTTATTTTTTTTATTTGCACTTAGGAAGTTAGGCACCTATCAAAAGAAGATATGCTCATTTATAATCATATTTTCAAATGGTTGAAGATTTACATACATACCACTCAATTCATATCTACATATTTACTTATCTTATACTTAAAAAACAATTTTTACATACATACATGCCACTTAATATGTGCATAAAAACTTGCATTTAACCTTTAAAAAATTATAATGTTGGTATTTTTGATGTGATATAAATGATTTTGTTGATGTAAATGTAAAAAGTAAAATGGAGGTGTTAGATATGGAAATACATAAGAATTGGGTGCCATATATGTAAATGGCTAAGACCAAAGATAGTCTCCACAATCCATGAATAGCGCCAACCTTTTGTTACTTGGAATGTTTGAGTGCGCGTTTTCAATAATTGCAACATTTATAGTGCAATTCCATTGAGTAATTTTTGGAAGGATTTTTTAATCAGGAGTATTCCGCCATAAATGTCGGAAATCTGACGGTCGTGCTTAACTTTTATTGAAAGATAACGGTGAGTTACAATTAAATTATAACTCACACAGAAAAAAAGAAAAATAAAAATAAAAAAACCATATACAAAGAATACAAAAGAGACTAGAAAAGAAACAACAATCAATTGCAACCAACAAAAGAAGGATCTTCACTTCAAATGAAAGAGAACAGCCACAATCTCAAACAAGCATACAAATAATAGTTGAACATGTAAAAAAACACAAACAAAAGAGCAGCTAACAAAGAAAAAAAAGTAGAGAAAAGTGCAATTAGGATATCAAATAAACAACCTCACACATGCAGGGAAAGAAAAACATAAAAATAAAAATAAAGATTGAGCTCAAATTTTAACTGAGATAAAATATTAAAATTTCATTCTAAAGTTTAGAATATAGCATGTAATCATAAACCGGTTAAATTTTAATAATGGTTGGAATTCATCATGACTCAATGCCAAATCTCAGCAAAAAATGGAAGAACAAGATGAAAAAGTAAATGCAAGGAAGAAATACAACAAAAAAGAGACAAAAGTAGAAACAGCAAGCAATTGCAGCCATGAAAAGTAGTATCTTCAAATAAACTCACACAAGCAAGCCAATAATTGTTAAACTTAAAATAAAATACTTTTTTTTTTTTTTTGAAAATTTAGAATATAAAATATAATCTAAAATTGGTTAAATTTGTTGGAACACATCAATACTTAAAATCCATTCTCAGCAAAAATTAAAGATCGAGATGAAGAAGTAACTACTGAGAAGAACACAAATACAAATACAAAAAGAATAAAATGATAGTAGTTAAATAGTAAAAAAGGCATTGACAAAAAGCCAAAAACACAAGTAACATAGAAAAAGACATCAAATAACTAGTTCTAATGACGCAGTAGATCCAAGAATGGATCGAGATCAAGAAGAAACAAAAGGAGGGAAAGA